TCCAGGTTTCTGGTCCAGCCTGGTGCTGTGCCAGACCCGGGAGTGCCAGGGTCTGCGGGAGGCAGCGGGCAGCGCAGCCGGAGCAGTGACCTCCCTCTTATCAAGGACCGACAGAAATCCCAGTCGCTTGGGTCGGTCGGCCCTGAGAGCTTGACATATTTTGGTGGCTTCCCCCACCCACAGGGCAGTCAGGGAGTTGCTCATCACAGGCTGGAGCAAATCCTGCACATCTTCAGCTCCTTGGGGCACTCTGCAAAGGAGGTGCTGGGCTTTCCGAGCCGGAGCAGGTTTGCCCAGCAGGTTCTTCCCTGACCTCAGCCGTGGTTTCAGGCAGCCGACAGGAAGAGACATGTTCGTACAAAGTGCTCGCCGAGGAATTCCCAACCCTCAAGTGTCTTTGTAAATACAGTAAAAAGATCGGCAAGTCCACGCAGAGCGAAGCCGCGGGAGGCTCTGCTGCATCTACACCGTGCTCTCATGACGGGGGCTTCTTCTCCAAACTCCTGAAGCCAAACGAGCAGGCGACAGGCTCTGCTGTCTTTTTAAAAAACGCCTCTCTGCTTGTTTATTCTTTGAGCAAAAGAAGTTTGAGGCTGTGGCTTGCGAATCAGAAAGCAAAGAGAAATGCAGCAGCCCCGTGGTGTTTCAAGAACTGCTCTGGTTTTCCAGCTATGGTTTCAGAAGTGGGGGGGGGGACCTGACTCAGGATGTTTTAGCACTTGGAGGGAGTGGGGCGGAGGAGAGATCATTTGTCAGAGAGCAAAATGTTGGCAGCTGGTATCACCTCATGTCTTTCCTCTGCCTCTGTGAGTACAGACGCAGGTATCCTGTGACCAAGCTGAGCGGCAGGATGCGTGCGGGCATGCTGGCAGCTCCGGAGCACTGGACCTGCAGTTTGTGGTTCAGACCACATTCTTGCTGCAGCCAGGCCGTGAAGGATGAATACGTTTTTCAGGAAATGAGAGGTATTTTGTGTATTTACAGGTGCTACACTTTCCATTTTAATGCAACCTGCGCTGAGACGTCCAGTGCTGCTTTAACTAAACCCTCTATTGTAAAATCCTGAGTCTGCTGAGAAATGTGTCGGAGGAAAAGCAAGAGAGCGTGGGTTTTCATGGTCCCAAGGCGGGTGTCCGTGACCAGGACTCACAAACACAGCCCTGTTCCCACCTGCTACAGAGCTGCCCGGGTCAGCATCCGGATAGGAACCACCAGGGGAAAATCAGTGGCCAGCAAACCCTGTGACAACGGGGAATCCAGGCTGTGCTGAGGAGCTTGGGCGTGGGTCTTGACCAATCTGACGCTTATGGGGGCTGGTTTGGAAACATTTTAGGGCTCGTACACACACACACAAATTGCTCTGCATTAATTATACCAGCCTAGCAAAGCTGTACAACCTCCTAAAGCAGGGACAGATAGCGGGAGAGCAGGAAGAAGTGCAGAAGCTTCTTTTTAGGGGAGCTAAACTCTGCTGGGAAAGGCTGTAAGGAAAACTCCTTTCGCTGCTTGTATGGCAGGGGCTGCGGAACCGTTCCGTGGCGGTTTGCTATCACAATCCCTAATTGCTATAGGGTGGCAGTGCAGATCCAGCAGGGAGCAGGCCTTAGTGGTCAAGCAAACAGCAGCATTCGGGGATGGGACGCCCAGGTCCTGTGTACACCCACAACCCCGCTCTCTCGGTGCAAGCCCCTGCCCGTGCCAGTTTGCTAAGGGCACGCTCGCATTTCACCCCGAAACACTATGTTCTGCACCGGGCAGCAGCTGGAAGCAGCTACACCCTGGCCCAGAAGCTCGGCAGGAACAAGGCAGTAACTCAGGCACAGCCGCACGGACACAGAGATGGAGTTCAGGACCTGAAATAAGAGCCGAACAGACCACGGCAGCTGCGCACAAAGGCGTGCTGGAAGCGTGAGAAATGAGCAGCCTGCGTGTTGCAAGGGCAGCGTTTGAAAGAGTGACAAATTTAGCCCAGATGTAGCCGGGGAGGGAAGCTAAAGCAGGATTAAAATTGCTTTAGAAGCTGCGTCGCGTCTCTGCAGCGATTTGAAACCAGGCTCTCGCACCTTGCGACCGGCGGCCCCGTGCACGCGTGTGGCACTGTCGCCGATCAACGCGAGCGCACGTCGCAGCTTGGGAGAGCTGCGTGCCGGGGGGACGGATACACCGGGCTTCTGCGGCCAGCACATCTACCTCCTGCCTGGGTATTTAGTTCCTTGAGCACCCACGGCTGCAGCACAAGCACCCGCCAGCTTCCCGAGGGCCAGCACCTTCCAGCAGCCACGGCTGCGGGTTGCTGCCTTGCCCGGAGCAGCGTGCTTGGGAGGGCAAGCCCTCCGCCTGCCCTGCGCCTCCCAGCCCAAAGAGATTACTGAACTTGAAACAGAGGGGCCATATCCAGTTCCTCACTGGTCTTCTCTGCAGAATAACGCTGAGGGGCAGCCAGGACACCTGGTTTTCTGCCCAGAGCAGATGCAGGGACAGAAGTGGCCTACAGGCATCTGGGTGCAGTCCCAAGGATGGCAATTCCTTGCCAAGCAAGCCCCTACCGTGGCCAGCTCCTCTTCCCAACTGGCTTTGTTAGAAAGCGGCTGCCACAAAGCAAGCTCAGGCAACAGGCCAGAGGCAGAGCCAGACCCTGCACCGTCCGGCAGCCCATGGAGGGCTCAGCTCCGTACCGGACCCTGGCACGGGGCTGGCCAGTGCATCCTGCTCAGCTCGCCCAGCTTTTCCCCAGGCTAGAGGGCACAGCAGAGACCATCCCGAGCCACGGCATGGCACGGGCATGCCCAGCTGCACAGGGCACAGAACTATTCGGAGCCACCGATTTTTACAGAGCACCTTTCCAAGACCCCCAGAACACAGGGCTGAAGCAAAGTCTGATTAGCTTTGGCATTAAACCTCCAGCCCAGGTCTCATCGCCTGGCAAACGCAGGGGAGACTTTGTTCTAGGATTAGGTGTTTGCAAGTGCCTGACCTGAAGAAGAGATGGTCAGCACTCTGGAAATCCTCCCGGACAACCTTCCTGCAGGGAGGAAGGGCTTTGGAAAGGACAGCAGCAACAGATGAAAATTCACCTGCATTAAACCAGATGATGGCAAAGGAAGAGAGAAGAAAAGTATTGCAGAAGAATGTGTATTGCAATTGTCCGGTCTCACAGAAATCCACCAGGGAACTTTTACAGCAATAGGGAGGGGCTTTTCCCTTTTCATACATTGCAGATAACCCTATCAAACCCCAATTAAAAAGACGATGGTGACCATCTCAAAAGTCACTGTGTTCCTAGGAGCTCACGCATAGGGCTGCCTCCCAGCATCCTATGTGCTTCTGATGTTCCCCAGTGCAATTTTGTTCTGAATAAATAGATCTTTTGGGGGTTATTAGATACAAATCTTCCCAAAAGGAAGGTAAACCTGAAACAAAACAATAACAGCTAGAAGACCCAAACCAACACACAGGCGAATGTGCAGACAGCTGCCCATTCTACAGTACTGAACATCATCCATAGCTAGAAAATTAAATAGATCTGCAACACATTTACACGTTAAATACATATAATCCACTCAAACCTTGCATGTAAACTTTGTTGAATACCTTCGGGGGAAGAAAAAAAAGGTACAACGTAATACATAGATATTCCCGTACAAAGAGCTCCTGGGTTGTTTTGTGGAAGAATGAACACCGAGATTTTGTTAATATGTTTGGTTTTCAGGGCACAAAGGTTAAGAATTTAAGAGCCTCAGGTAAAAACATTTGGATTTGCTGCTGACCTTATATGTGCTAAAGGCTCTGGCCTAGGAGGCTGGAAAACGATAGCACTGAGACTCTGTCCCCTGTTGTTTGTGCCCTGGTCTTGCTGCTGCCCTGGCGGGGGGAAGAAAGGTCGCAGCCCACCCTGGCTTTGCTCTGATCCCTGGAGTGTTAGGGCTGCGCCGGAGTTGGGCTTGTCGTGAATCTGCTTCCTTCCCTCCTCGCCTCGATATGCACAGGCAGCATTTAGTGTGGGTCCGGTAATGTGCGGAGGCGTGGGAGGAAAGGCCACGGTCCCGTAAGAGGAACCCAGAGCATCCTTTCCAGGAAAGACCTTGGTAAACACAAGCCACTCAGTGTATTTGCTGGCAGCACGCTTCTGGATTCCATCTGCCAAGGTGTCAGGCTCATAATATTGCAGGTCACCACTGGTTTGGAGCCAGCACTGGCAGGAAAGAATTTTTTGCATAGAGTGGAGAGAATATCCCATCCTGCCCAGATCTGGATTGTTTTGTCCATCTCTGTCAGGTCACTCTGAGTTTGTAGGAAGACAACCCTATGAGCACAGCTATTGCTACCAACCGTATATACCATGACGGGGCATGTCTCATGCATCTTTGCAGTCTTCAGAGCTCAACGGGGGAAGGTTTGGCCTAACAGCTATGCTCAGGGATCAGCAGGTCCTCAGAGGGACCAGCCTGAGGGCTCTGGTAAAAGGGAAAATGATCAAACTAACCCAGCCAACAACCAGCCCTTCTCTTTGGCCTTCGAGTGACTGCTCCACCTGAACACCCAGTCCCTTTTATCTGAGGGAGCCTGACCACTTTTTGCTCTTCCTTTTATTTTCAGGGGGGCGGGCAACGCTGTTCCCTAGCCAGGGCTCCCCAAACCAGGGCAGCTGCAGACAGCGCTCCTTAGCATGGCACGCATACTGCTCCGCCGGGGCCGTCGCCTTTGTGTTTTACCCCCGTCCTCAGATTTAGAGGAGAAGTTTGAACTCCGGACCTGCCAGGATGTGGGAACCAGCCTTTTGCAGAGCAGGGCCATTCCCTTTGTACGCCCCAACCTCCTCACCCTGGAGGGAAGCTCAGCGAGGAAAGAGCCCGGGGGCTTTCCTGTGCCTGGCTGCGGAGGCGTTCCCTCAGGCTTGGTAAAACTGCTGGCTGGGAGGTGGGAAGGCGTGTGGGGAGCCCGGCTCCTTCTCCTCGGCTTCCCACAGGTTGTCATAGCTGAAGTCGCTCTGCAAGCTCTGGAGCTCGGCGTAGTCATGGTAGGCTGGGGAGTCGAGGTCTGGGCAGCTGGCTTCAGGTAGGCTGTAAGTGCTGAAATGCCCATCTGCAGAAAAAGCAGACGGAAGCGCTCAGAGAGCCGACGAGCAACCCCGTGGCTGCCTTCTCCTTTGCCAGCAGAGAGAACGCACGAGGGGCAGCAAAATCGCAGCCCAGAGGCAACTAGATCTGGGCAAAGCGGTGGAAGCTGCGCAAGTGCCACAGAGCAAACCACGAGCCCCCCCGTGTGACGGGTGGCCGGAGCTTGTGGGCAGTGAAGGGAAGCCAAGGCAATGGCCTCCACCAGACAGACACAGGCAAGGGGCAGGGTGACAGACTTGGTCCCACCCCGGGGAAGCAGGAGGAAGGTCCCTACTCCCCCTCTCAGCTCGGCTTTGAATGATGCTTATGGAGACGGATGGGGTGGCCGCAGCACCCAAGCAGCCTCCCAAGAGTCTCACCTGGTGGCTGCAATGATGGGCCCAGGTGTTCCTCTTGCAGAGAAGAGACCTGAAAAGAAAGAGACGTGGTGATGAGGATGACTGAGCACTGCAGTCCTGGGATATCGCACAGCAGGAACCAGCTCTCTGTTGGTTCCCCCATCCCTGGTCCCCAAGATGCACCCGGACACAGAGCAAAGGGCTCAGAGCTCTGCAGTGACCGACCACTCTTCCAGCCTGGGACCCCTGCACCCCCGTGTATTCCCCTGCAACCTGCACAGTGTGGGGCACCAGGACTGCGTTTGCAAACTCACATCTTCAAGATAAGAAGTGTCAGGAGGAGGCCGCGGCTGGAGACGGCACGAAGTGTCGGGCATGCTGTAACTCGGAGCCACGGGCACTTCTCTGCAGTGGCTGCTGGGCAGGGGCTGGCAGCTCCTCTTCCGCAGCGAGAGATGCTGGGGGACCGGCACGGCTGGGGACCCGGTGGGCCGCGCCGAAACCGGCCTGGCCTGGCAC